CTGACTCTATAGAAGTTACTATAACACGATTTCGAAACATTAGTTCCTAAAAAATGTATTTGTTTCGAAAAAAGGGCCACTTACCTAAGTTGATGATTCTCTGTCCGAACTTTGTGTGTACTCGATCACTTAGCAATTTGGCAGAATACATTTTGTTCCCCTCGTCGGCTAGGCATCCGAGTGGTCTTGGCACCGAGGCCATGTTTTTCGAACATGGTCTCAATCCTCAGGTTACGCGATAGGGTCTCAATGTAACCTGCCATAAGGGCCTACGCCTAAGCGTCTGTGTAAAAGATCTGATAAGCCTTTTATACTTTTTGCGTTTAAGTGAAATTATTGGTACCACTTATTCTCGTCATTGGATTGATAAAAATGAATCAACTCTATGGCCACCATGAAGTCCCCAATGCAATGCTTTAGATTTTTATTTTTGATGACATTTGAAATCGTTAGGTTGTGATAACTGAGATGAACTTGAAACAAATGCTAAATTACGGGAACACATTTTTTTTTCTATATATAATAACAAATATTTTTTCTTGGTTGCCTTAGTTACTTTTTAAAAAATAATGTAACCATAAAAGTAACCATAGTACTTACTTAATTTAAGTAAAAATAATAATTTATTTAAAACCTCAAGCTTCAATTCAAAACTTTAATTAATTCAGATAATAGCAAATGGCACATTATTATTGCAAGCATTTTTGTTCAATAAAATCACTAAATTTTACGTGTTTGTATTTTTTTTTTCACATTCAACATTTTCTAGATAACTGTATCTAGTTTTTATATTTAATTTATTTCTAAACTAACAATTATCGGTTATAATAGTTATCGAGTTGTTTTATTTTGTTTAAATAATGTTTGCAATAGTTCCGACACAACCATTGCATTAACAAAATTGTTTTCCTTTTGGAAATATTTGAGTTGTAAAAATAATATTGTAATAACCATTTATTTCAACAAATAATATGGCAACATGCTAATAATATATTGATAAAGCTTTACAATATTTCAATAAACAATTTGACCACAAAATAAAAATAAACTATGAAAACATTGGTACGGGGACTGACGTGACAATAATTTTCGAATAAAGAAAAAGCGTTATTTTTTATTTACTACAAATAAAGTAATACATTTTTTTGTAGGGATTTTAAAATAGTTTATTAGTTGAATAATAATTATGATGTACATTACGCAAGATTTGGTCATATACAGGGCGACTTTCTTTGATAATTCCACTATGGTACAAAATATCCAAAAAAGTTTGTGAGAAAAACTGTAAGTGATATTCTACAGGCTTGGAAAATATGCCGAATTCTACAGGGCGGTTATAAACTACGTGATAAAGCAAAGATGCAAAGAAAATGCATAACGGATGGTCCTGAAAATGAAAAATTTTACCTTCGAAAAGTTGTTGAAAATCAGGAAAATTCGATTTTCAGAAAAAGGCACCCTTATTCATCTCTAAATTTCCCTTTTTCTTGCTTATCATATATGACATTTTCAGTACACAAAAATACATAAGTGGGTATTGAAATCCGTTGGTCTATAATATTGATTTGAATTTATATAAAGACAGAAACGTATTGAATCGAGTAGGTCGTAATATCTTAAACCGTAGAACCAAAGATTACATCAAACGATATTCCACAGGGAGCTGTTTAAATTCCACCATTTTTTAATCTGCACACATACGATTTGCCCAATTGTGTAATATTGTCATCTATTCACGTACATAGTACAACCGTACATCGAATGTACTACTCAATTCAAACATAATGTAGCTGCTTAATATTTCGACTTAAATGGTTAAATGGCTTCACTTATTCTTACCAAAAGTTTGCCGCGGTATTTTTCTCTAGAAAACACCATAATAAAGATTAAACGTATCCTTACAGGATAAAGCCATTCGACAGTGCCCCGTATTGTTTCGGAATTGAATGAATATTCCATACATAAACATGTTACATCAATATTTTTTCCAAATCGTACTTTGAACCGCGAAACTAGAAAAAAAACTCAAAAATCCCTTTTAATTAAGCAAAAAAAAAAGATGAAAATAATATTAACTGACAAAAAATTAGTTGGCTACGATTTAAAAAAGATTAGTTGGCTACGATTTAAAAAAGACACGCGACCTTTTTAAAAAATGAGGTCATTCTTCTTTAATGATAACTTGCAACTTCAACTTTAAAAGCGCATGGTTAAATGCTACATTTGGTCAGTCCTCTTATACGGTGTCGAAACATGGACATTAAAAATATCCAACATTAATCGTCTGGAGGCCTTTGAGATGTGGCTGCACAGACGTATACTAAAAATTCCATGGACGGCTATGTTGACAAATTGTGGCAGTCCTTGAAAGAGCAAATGCTGCCTCGCGAGCTGCTTGATAACATCAAATGTAGAAAGATGGCCTATTTTGGACACATAGTAAGGGGAGACCGATATAATATTCTTCAACTTGTTATGATGGGTAAAATCGAAGGACGCAGAGGAATTGGTAGAAAGCAGGCCTCTTGGTTGAAGAATATAGGGAGTGGACAGGAATAAAGAAAGCTGAGCAACTATTTAGAATAGCTGGAGACAGAGACAGTTTCGCTATGTTAATCGCCAACGTCAAGGGGACTTGATAGGGCACGTTAAGAAGAGGCACAATGTAATTTTATGTAAAAAAAATTTAATGAATATTTTAAAGTATTTAACTGCAACAAACGAACCAGGTATAATATTCAATCAAATGTAGAAAAGTTATACCCTTCGAGAAAACCAATTTCCAATGCAAAATTCTTCTTCTTCTGGTTCCTATCCGTTTCGGATGTTGGAAATCATATTGGCAATCATAACCTTGCTCGCTGCGGCTCGAAACAGCTCCGTTGAGGTTTTCTTAAACCATGTTCTTAAATTCCGCAGCCATGATATTCTCCTTCTACCGGGTCCTCGCTTACCTTTGACTTTACCTTGCAATATAGACTGTAGCAGGGAGTAACGGTGCTGATTTCTCATAACGTGTCCCAGATATTGCAATTTTATGCGTTTGATCGTAAACACAATCTCTGGTTCCTTCTTCATTTTTCCTAGAACTTCCTTGTTCGTGATCCTTGTTGTCCATGATATTCTCAGCATTCTTCTGTAAAGCCACATCTCAAATGCTTCAAGTTTTTTAATAGTGGCGTCTGTAAGCGTCCATGCCTCCGCCCGGTACAACAACACAGACAAAACATAGCATCTCAAATGTCTCATTTTTGTATCAAGGGATATGTTGTGACTTTTGAAGATGGCGCTCATTTTGTTAAAGACCGTTCTTGCCTTTCCTATGCGGCACTTTATTTCCTGTAAATTGCTCCACTGTTCGTTAATAATAGTTCCCAGGTAACAATACTGTTTTACTCGCTCTATCTGCGTCCCATTAATGTATATATGAGCCCCATTTATATTCTCCTTGCTGATAATCATTTGTTTCGTTTTGTGGGTATTAATGTTTAGTCCGTACTGTTGACTGTACTCGTTTATTCTGTCCATTAGCCTCTGAAGTCCCTCTAAACTATCTGCTATCACCATGGTGTCGTCGGCATATCTAACATTGTTTACTCTTTCCACCATTTAGAAGGATGCCTTCGTCTATTCCGTAAAGAGCCTCGTTAAAAATTTTCTCTGAGTACATATTAAATATCAACGGCGATAGGATACATCCCTGTCTAACTCCACGTAGTATTTGTATGTGATCTGTTTCTTCTCCGTTAATTTTCATGTATGCGGTCTGATTCCAGTAGAGTTCTGAAATTATTCTGAGGTCTTTGTCATCCAGGTCTGCCTCTTTTAAAATGTTTATCATCTTTTGATGTTGAACTCTGTCAAATGCCTTTTCGTAGTCGATCAAGCACGCGTATACGTCGCAGTTAACGTCCCTGCATCTTTGAATCAGTACCTGTACTCCGAAAAGGGCCCCTCTGGTACCCACTGCGTTAATGAAGCTGAACTCTCTGTCCGATATTTGTTCCTCGCACTTCTTATAAATTCTTCCATGGATGACTCTAAGAAACAGTTTCAACATGTTAGGCTCATTAGGCTGATTGTTCGATATTCTTCGCACTTTTTAGCCCCCTGTTTTTTTATGCAATGCGAAATACAATGACTTAATGTCATTATTTAGATCAAACCCACCAGCAATTAGCGTAGACTATCATTTTTTTTTACAGAAATTATACATAAATTGTATAGATGAAGATTATGCCAGTGGTAACGATGATGAATAGATATAGGTAGTTTTTTAGTTTCTGTCAAAATTTAATTTTTATGTGTTTCTTGTTTTATTTAGGGTTTTCATGTTATTTTGTTTGTTTTTATTTAATTTTTATTATCGACTTATTAGTTTTATAAGTGGATAACGTAACTGTGTCAATTGTAGATATCTCTTATATAGAACCAAAAAGTAGATATCTCTTTAAAACCAAAAGTAGATATGTTACATAATCTTATTTTATTTTTTAACAAAATGTAACTACTATTTGTAATAATTTTCAATATTACTCTTAATTTGATAATAAAATGTATGATTACAATATTTGACATTTTTTTTAACTGTTGTGAGTTTCAGTATTCCCAAAAAGGTTAGCGCATCATTTTTGTTGATTCTGTAAAATAAATTAATATGGAGTTACCTAGTTATAGAATTAAGGTATCGATTTGATAACGGTTTATTTATTTGCCATGGGTTAAATACATTATAATAGAAAAAACTAACTTTGAACTAAAGATATGCGTTTTAAGAAAATGTTAATTATGTATATTAGAATTATAATTCATTTGGAAATATAACAGTAACTTTAAACTTTTTTTTAAAATAAATAATGCATAACGTTCTATCTCTTACTACGAAAAAGATACTACACTAAACATAAAAAATCCTCGAGCATGCTATCTCTCTCGTCTCGCTTCTTGGCGGGCTTCAAGAACCCACGAAATGTGAAAGGGGACCTTGCAGCTCTTGGGGAGGTACTCTTGCGGGGATTTTTAGCTTTGGGGGGACTTCATATATACAGCGTGGGGCTGAACTGTAAAGCATAGTCTTTTAACAGTCCTAGTTCTAGGAGGTTAGGGAAATCATTTATCTCAGCAAAATGAAAATTTTGGTGAGTACACGATAGTGGATTGTGATAATAGTGGTGTGTGAAAATGCGCGATTTTTAAAAAAGTGTGAAAACAGTGTATGATAAAGGGTGTCCCTGATTAGTAATATGTGGCGGAATAATTTAAAAAATATATATCAGTAATTTTTTTAATTTTGATAAATTTTTTAATGAGTATTCTATACTTGGTTATCCTTTTATGTCTTTTTTAATTATTCGTCTATTTTAAACAGATAAAATCAACACAAATTAATCAATTTGAGAATTATTTTGATGGGACACCCAGTAATTCTTTAATTTTTTAGAAGTTTTTTAATTTTATAAGGTTGTTTTACATTTTTTATTACATACGAGAATAAAGAATTTAAAAGTTTGAGTAATTAAGAAAAAATCTTTAAAAAAATCTATGTTTGGTATTGTTTTAAGATCATTATGCAAAATTAAAGTCATTTTTATTGCTGTTCTTAATATGTACATACGTTAATAACAAGGAATTAATCTTACAATTTTTGCAAACTAATAAGTACAATAAAAACACTTAATACATAATATAAAAATCCACCAATATCGTAAAAAATAATACAAAACTTATATTTACTTTACAATTATATTGGTTATTATCGAATGTTTGTTTCATCATTTTTTTGAGATTTTCACTTAAATTATCTTCTTCTTTTTCTTCTTCTTTAGGTATGATCTCCTCAAAGGAGGTTGGTAATCATCACAGCTATTTTCACTTTTGAGATTGCATCTCTGAACAAGTCGATGGAACTGCAAGTATAAGACTTTCTCAGATTGTTGAGCCAGGAGATGCGTATTCTTCGAATACTTCCTTTTCCCTGTATTTTTCACACACAAACACATATTTATCCCCTCTCATAACGTGGCCGAGATACTGTAACTTTCTTATCTTAGTTGAATTTATGATTTCCATTTCATTTGTCATCTTTCAGAGATGACATCTTTCTTGAGAACATCAACATTTGTTATTCGGTCTACCCAACTTATTTTTAATATTCTTCGGTAGGTCCACATCTCGAATGCTTCAAGCTCACCTCTTTCTTTAAGGTCTAGGAATCCAGCCCATACAGCAGCATCGAAAACACATAAGAACGTAATATTCTTATTTTGAGTTGCAAACTAAGGTCTCTACTGCATAATACTTTTCTCATCTTATTAGATGTTGCTCTAGCTTGTCCAATTCTCATTTTTATTTCTTCTGTATACTCGTTATTTTCATTAATATTTATACCAAGATATCTGTTTTTTTACTTTTGCTGTTGGAACTCCTCTTATGTTTAAAATGTCTTGTTGTTGTGTTTTGGAAATTGTCATAAATTTTATTTTATTAGCATTAAGCGTTAGTCCGCTTTCCTCACTACCATTTACTAAATTATCTAAAAATGTATGTAGATATTGTATATTATCTGCAATTAGTATAGTCTCATTGGCATATCTGATATTGTTGATGGGTCTGCCGTTGACTTTTATTCCAATTGTTACATTTTCGATTGATTTTTTAATTATTTCATTCGAATATAGATTGAACAATAAGCGGGAGAGTATGCAACCTTTTTATCTCTACTTCCTCCGAAAGTTCTTTGCCGACTCTGACTTTTCCTGTTTGGTTAAAGTAGAGATGAGTTATTATGCTTAAGTCTTTTTTGTCAATGTGTTTATATTTAAGTAACTGTATAAGACGATTATATCGGACCTTTTCGAATGCCTTATTATAATCAATAAAACAAACATAGAATGGTTGGTTTACATCCATACATCTTTGCATGAGGACGTTAGATCCAAATAATGCCTCTCGTCTACCCATAGCATTCCTAAATCCAAATTGGGTTTCAGTGATGTCTTGTTCCACTTTTCTGAGAATTCTTAAATGGATAATTTTTAAGAATATTTTTAGTGTGTGACTCATTAGACTAATTATACTTAAATTATAGTTTTTCAGTTATTAACTTATAAACAAGTAAAAGTTTATCAAAATCAACTTTATACATAATTATTTAGGTTGTTTTCGTATTTTTCTTTTAATCATTTTTTTGACTTTTTTACTTAAATTGCTAATTGCTTTACAAGTGTACAAGTCTTTCTTCTGTTTCCGCTAATTCTTGGAAAAACTTTCGTTGTTAGTCCAGTGTGATTTCTTCTTTTTCTTCCTTTATAATTTTAGGTAAATTACCTGTTTTATAACAAATATTTTTATTGTTCATCATCATCATCTTTGGCTCTACAACCCTGGGTGAGTCTTGGCCTGCTCAAGAATTAGTCTCCATTCCCCCCTATCTTTCGCCCTGGATTTCCAATTTCTGACCACTAGTTTTGAATCTAGATCTTAGCCTACCTCTCTTCCTGGTTCCTACTGGCTCTTGATAGAATATCTGTCTTATTTTTATTGTTACTGTTTTATAAAAAATATTTTGTTGTATTGTTTTTTACTCGTAATTTCATCGCTCCACCACTTTCGTGAATAGCCCATGCTCCAATATTTTATTGATGATTTATCTTGAGCGAATCTCATCATCTTCCTTCTTCTATTTTGTTAATTTCTTCATTCCAGTTTTTTTAATAGTCAAATATTGTTTTACTTCTTCTTGTCTAATAGTCTAGTAAATTAATATTATTATTATTATGAAGTGAAATACAGCCAAACCATGTAATTTTCCGTGTCACCGCCGAATTTCATGAAAATTTGGATTTAGGTTCTACTTACCCTCCACTTTACTTTTAGACTTGTGCCATTGGTTGCTTTTTTAATTTATAGATTTAATTATATAGTGACATTCAATTTAAATTACTGTTTTAATTTATTAACACATAATTTCTACCCTTATAACCACGACCCCTTGTAAAAAAATTCGAAGATTTGTAGTATTTTTTCTTTTTCATTGTAACTAGTACAGTAATTTTTAATAAAAATGTTATGAATTTAATTTATTTCGACTTAAAAAATAACCTTTATTAGTTTGTTAGGATGGACAAAGTATGTGTGTGCCTTAATAGCACATTATATGTATCAATGCTCTAGTATACGCATTCAGATATAGATTATATTCAATTAAAGATGGGGTTGTTTTTGGTCATAACTCGGTTAGTTTGTAAGCTATAAAGTACTTAAAAACCATTTTGTAGGTATTTTTAAGAACAAATAGATCATTTAACTTTTTTTTAAACCCTTATTCTTAAAAGGGTTGTAGTTTTAAAGGGCTTTAATGAGACACTAATCATGTGTAAATGCAAACTTTGAATAATATCTTAACTAATTTTTGTCTTACAAAAAAATAAAAAAAACCGAAATGTTTTTTAATTTTTTTTTTCAAAATTTTAAAAATTTTTCTTTCAGTTTAAAACCAATTTTTTTTAAACAAGAACTTTGAACCGGTTAAATTAACAAATCATATATATAATACACAAATAAAGTAAATTGTACACCGGGAATGAATAATTCTATTTAGGGTGCTAATTAGGGGGTGATTTTCACAATGTTTTTACCAAAAAAAGGGACCAATTTTATTTAAGTCGCTTAGTTTTGATGTTAAAAATTTAATACAAAAATAAAAATTAAGTTTTTTTACACTCTTAAAAAGCTTATATGAGTTTTCTTCGAAAAGTGCTTAATTTTTTGGTTATTTCATGTTGAAATATTTGATTTGGAATTTTATAAATAAGAACCTACTTTTCATGAGCTACAACTCTGCTTCTACTAGGTTTAAAGATTTCATAAATACACCATTTTTTTTTTGCTTTTTATAAGCTACTTTTTTTCCATAAATATTTTTCAGTTCATACTTCTTTTGAGTTATTTGTGAAAAACCGTCTGAAAACATAGTTATATTTTGAAAAATAAACATTTTTACTCGCAATTAACTCAAAAAGTATTGAAACCCCTTAAACAAAAGCAACCCCCTGGGCTCAAATGCAAAAGTAAAGTAGGGGCTGAGAGAAACCCAAATCCAAATTTTCAAGCAAATCTGTGGTGAATAGGGAAATTACGCTCCAAAACAGTCATTTACTGTACTATAAATAGAGTATATAATATTTTTCTACTTTTTGTTCTGGTTTTGTATTTGCATGATATGTTATTTATATTATTCTTGTTCTTCTTTGAGTAGCTTCCACGACTATTTGACGATATTATTCTTGATCTTGCGCAACATGTAACAATTCATCTGCTGATAAGCCAGTCCATTGACGAAGGTTTCGGACTCACAACTATTTCTTGCTAATAATTCCTCTTTTTTTCCTTTATCATTCCGTTAAATGTTAACTACAGTATCCAGTATCTGCTACCTTTGTCAAGTCACCTTTGTCTTGACTTATTTTATTTAAGACCTCTATGTTTGAGTTTGAGATGCGTTAAACCCATGATATTTTGAGCATTTTACGATATGATCACATCTTTAAGGCTTCTAAGTTGTTCATTATATTACCCTTCATGATCCAGCTTATTAAAGTATTTCTCTGAAGATCTTTAATATTTTTAGCCATGACCTCTAAGTATCATCTGCATATCTGATTTTGTTAATAGTTTCTCCCCAATTCGAACTTCACATTGCCCTTCTAAGGCTTCATTTAATATTATTTGCTAGAAAACGTTAAACAAAGTTGTAGATAACACTCAACCGTGTCTGGCATTTCTTTATATGGAAATTTTGTCTGTTTCTTTGCCGTCTACCTGAATAAAAGTTTCTTTATTCCAATATAGATGTAAAAGTCATAGATCTCTATTACCTATTCCAATCATTTCTAGATACTCAAACAGTCTATCATGTTGGACCCTATTAAACGACTTTTCTTAATCTCTAAAGTAGACATAAGTTGGCTTCTGTACTTCCCATGATCTTTGAAGTAATGTTAGCATAGAATCTGATCCTCGAAAACCGAATTGGTAATTTCCCATTGTTTTTTTACTGTGCTACTTAATTATTTTAAGAATTATCGTGAAAATTAGGTTGAGAAAGTAACTTCTAATACAAATTAGTCCAAAGTCTGAA